TCGAATTAGGGGGGGTAGTGTAGACCAAGCCTAAGACTATTGAACAAAGAAGTAGAAATAGGAAGTATTGATGTTATGTTTATTCCTGATTTATGAAGTCTAACTAGTTTAACAATGGTTAACATAATTTGTTTAAACTGTCAAGACTGCAGAGACATTGATAAGGGGTGCATTTTTATTAAAAAAAAACCCACCATGTATGAGTCAGAGCTGCTAGGTATGCCAGGTGCCCTTTGAACACATCTATACAAGGTAGACCTCAACTATATAGGCACACTTATGCTCTGAGACCTTCAAGCTAAACATTGTAGCATGTTTAAATATTGGCACAGATGGTTCCTTTATATGACTCTTTATCTCCTGTAATGCAGAAGTACAACAGTTGAATGAGACTATATATTGTAAGCAATTTCAGTATTCCTTCCAGACTATTGAAAAGTTTGAACTTCTTTTCTGAATATTAGAAAAATATTAGAATATTAGAAAAATAGGCAGGCTGGCACTTCAAAGTATCCTTATAGACAGATATCAGAGAAGTTCTGAACAAGGTATTCTTTGCAAAGTTCTAGAATTCATGTTGAAGTTAGAGTATTCTTAATGAAATTTCATACTGGTGGGAACTGTAAGAGCAGTAAATGGAAAATACTCTTGGCTCTATCGTCCATTTGCAAGAAGAGTCTAATAAACCTTTAAATTGTTATTTGCCCCTTATACAGCAGTGAAACAGATGGCAGCTTGCCCTCCTGAACAGTTCCATTTTTAAATATTCCAGAGCAAATCTTTCAGCGTAATTCTATCACATTCATTGCAAAGATAGTAGAGGCACTATCAGGTTGACTCTCTGAGATTGTAAACAACTTAAAGTTGCTTGGGCTAAACATGATTCTGGGATATATTATAAACCAATAAGAATATTAGCTACTGTAACCGAAGAAAACCCCCTCAGTGGTTCTCAGTCCTTCCAGTTCTACTCCTGCATTACTTATCTTTGATGGTGCTTAAGAGTGGCGATCTATACAGGCAATACTAAAAGAAGTTACCTTTCCTTTGTACAAGGCATTACACAATCACAGGGGTTCTCAGGACAAATTTTTTGGTGGTCTCAGAGTGCAGAAACCAACTCTTGCTGGTGGCAACTCTCACGCTTTTTCCTAAAATACTTGATTAGCTTTAGAAAAACTAAATAAATATGCACATATATACATCCAAATCATTGTAATTTATGTATTGCTAGCTAGTAAGTCTGTTGTGAAAAGTGATATTAACAAACACATAAGTATCACTTTTAACAGCAGATTTACTCACCCCTGGCAAGCCTGGGGACAAATTAAGGCCTGGATGGAGGGTTGGGAGAGGCAGTGGGGGCCAGGGCAGATGGGGGTGGGAGGCTGGAGCCTAAAGCCCTGCGGCCAGAGCCTGAAGCTCCACGGCTGGAGGATGGGGTCCATGGATAGAACCTGAAGCCATGTGGCTGGAGCCTGTGGCCTGCCACTGCACAGCCAGAGCCCAGTTGGAGCCCGAAGCCCCACGACCAGAGCCTGCTGCCCTGCCACCCCAGGGCTGAAGCCCAAAGCCTGAGCCCCACCACCCTTGGGAAGGTGGAGAACTCACTGGCTGCCTGCTCCTCCAGCATTGTGCCCCAGGTGTCTCCCAGAGGGGGGCAGGGCCCAATCCCTGCTGCTGGCCCCAGCATCCAGGAGCAACAGAGAGGGGGAGGGGGCTCTACTTTGCCCTCCCCCCCCTCACAGCTCAGGAGGCTGTGGCCGCAAGAAAAGCCCCTGGTGGCCGCATGTGGCCACAGTGGCTGCATTTGAGAAACGCTGAAGAAATTTCCTTATCTCTTTCTCTACTCAAATACTTACCACTGCCTGTTCCTGAGAGTTTTTGGCAAGACACTTTAAAATCTGTCTCCATCTTCTTTGCTCTGTTAGCGCACAATACTTTCTCATAGTTAGATTTTTCAAAGATTTCTGAGTTCTTCAGTACAGGGAAGTTTTCTGAAATTTTATGGTAATCAACAGCAGAGAGCTCCAGTTGTGGGAGACCCTCCTGCAAAAAGTTGCATGAATTAAACAGCATATCCTTAGAACAGGTCACAGGTGAGAATTTTAAAAGGCATGGTTCTTCAATCATAATGTTCGTTAATACTGATTTATTGATCAACTTGTTCATGAAGGGATCTCTCCCTGTTCTGACCTTTTGGTCATCTAAAATATTCTGTTCCACCTGGTCAACTTGCCTGATGTCACATTCTTCTAGCCTGGTCTCAGAAATAAGCCTCTCATTGTTTTTAATCTGATCATCTGGAGAAATGACAATACAAGTCTTTTTATTTGCCTTTGATATACGGTCTACCCCTTTCTTTAACATATTAACATTATATTCATCCACCTTCTTCAAGGAAGATCTAGACCACTGTTTGTTTACAGTTACACTGCTCTTAATATCTAAAATTCCCTGAATTTGCTGAGTATTTGTAGTTTTGTTTCCATGAACAATATCAGTGTGCAACATGTTCTCGTTTTTTAACTCTTGCCTTACAGAAAGTGTGCACTGTGTAAAATCATCTGGCTGTATATTAGTTTTCAGGCTAGCTTTTGCCAATACATTCTTTGAACTGCCCAGCGAAACCTTATTACTCTTTCGTTCTATTTTTTTTATATCTACACAGTGACTAGAAGTCTGTGGTTCTCTCCTGTCACTGTAATTATCTTCTTTGTGACATTCACTCTTCTGGTGTTGTTTTATCTTGCAATCAGGTTTGCATGCCTTTGCTCCAGGCTGTTTTGAACTACTGGCTGAATGCTCCTCAATTTCCTCTCTACAGTCATTTGTTTTGCTTACTGTAGAAGGGATTTGGAAAGTCTTGCTGTTTCTTTTTGGTTTGATATGTTTCTCATTTACATCCACTAAGTCCTGCTGTAAAGACAATACGCCGGAGATGTGGTTTTCTATATATGGCACACTTTTAGTACAATAATCTTTTGATGGGGCCTTGCTATTAGATGAGCTAGAATCTGGGTTTTGAAACTTGTCCATATTTTCTAATCTTTCTGAGAGAATTTGTTTGTTTATTTTCTGTTGTAAATCAGTTTTTTGTTGTTTACTTGGGCTTGCTAAATTAACTAGATACGTCCTTCTGGTAGCTTTATCGTTGTATTGGGAATTCTGTACATCATATTCATCGGTCCTTTGTAGTGTCAGCTCTCCCAAAGCATTCCTTTTAGCCATCTGTTCTGCCTCCAACCGAAACTTTGGAGTGTCTGATTCACTAGTGTTTGAATCTATAATCTTTTCAGTATTTTTGTGCCTTTTTTCACTATGAAAATCTGAACTGCCTTTAGGATTGCTTTTAATTTTCTCTTTATCTTTTTTTCCTGTGTTTGAATACCTCACTTTTCTCAAATTTGCTGAAATTTTATCAGTTTTGGCATTACTATTCCTTTTATTTTTGGCTTTTGATGTAATTGTGAGTATCTTACCCACATCACTGGCAGTCAGTTCCATTTCAGTATCATAAACAGTTTCCTCGGGCTTTAGCTGGTTACCAAAATGGACCTCATTTGAATTTGTCTTAAATTCATTGCTAGGGTGAAGTGGTGAATCAGGATGAGACAACACATTTGGTTTTGCTTGCACACTCATTTCATTGGTGGTGTTGCCCTTGTCAATGCTCCAATCTGACACATTACTTGGGGTCACTTTTTTATTAAAATCCGCTATACCTGCATCAGTGTTTGATCTACAAGATGTTGCATGTTTTTTCCTTTCAGTCACATTTCCACAGAGTGGTAATGGACTATCATGTGGTTTTGTAAACTCTTCAGACTGTCCCACAGATGGCACATTATCCAGATCAGACATGAGGGCACTATTGGAGCTTAGTAATGTACATGGCTGATTTTCTGCAACCAAAGCAAGTGAATGTCAGTGACTTAACAAAAGTAAAATAGTATCCAAAATGTGCATTTCACACTTACTTATAGCGTTCAGACTAGCATGGATTACTGAAGTTTGCACCAGAAATATGTAGATGCCCATTTTAGGTGAAGTGTTGTACTATACTTTATACATAGTATACTGTACCGTATATAGTATACCTCTCCCCCCCAGAGTCTATCAACAGCCTTCCACAGTGTCAATCAGGAGGTGCTACTAACTTTTGAATTCTAATGGAACAATGATGCTGCTTTAGTGTGACTTTATTCTTTTTCTCTTGGAGATATCACAATGGATAGTTATGGGCAACTGCTCTGTCCCTCCAAGGGTTCTCAAGTTAGGGTTACCACAGAGTTCCATATCATTACCGCTTCTATTCAACGGTATAGCGCAGTGGTTCTCAACCTATTTACCATTGTAGGCTGCATATGCAGCTCTCTATGTGTTATGTGGGCCGCATCCATGCAATATATATACTACCTGTATGGCCCCAAGGATATCACATGGGCCGCATCTGTGTGCTGATTGGGTTGAGAACCACTAGTATAGATCTTAAAATATCAGTATGGACAGCTGATCTTCATCCATTACCAGAAGATCACTGACCAATACATAAAATGTGCCAAAACCAGGTGTGTTCCCAGAATTACAAGGGTCAAGAAGATTCGAGGCTCAGGGTGCAATGATTTTGGCATACAAATAACATCCAGCTTTATATCTCCCCCTTTCTCACTCATTCAGCCCAGATAATAGCATTGAACACCACAGATAACATCTGGTTGAGATTGAAGAATAGATGGTCTAAAAAACCTCAATGCAGAGATGACTGAAGTGATAATAGTATGTTGAGGAAAGAGAGCTGGAGGATATGACAGAATTCCTTCGGGCTTCTGTTCTACAATTGTTTGCCCAAGTTTGCAACTGAAAAGTGCAGTTTGAGCCCTAGTTGCACAACAGCAATGACCTGGAATACATGTTTATATCTACATCTGGTGAAGAGGATGCAACCTTTACTGTCAGAAGTAGATGAGTTTACTTACCTGTAACTGGAGGCTCTTCAAAATATGTGGTCCCTATATGTATTCCACAGTGTGGTTACACATGCACCATATGCCCCTGGAGTCAGAGAATTTGAAAGTAGAGTCTGTTGGTCCATGCATTCACCCTGGTTTGCCTTGTGCCTCCAACCGAGGCAATAAAGGGCAGGGCAGACCGACCGCCTCTTAACTTCCTTCTCCACCATGAATCAGACAAGATCCAAAGCAAAGGGGAAAGGGTGCGGGTAACAATAGCAGTTGCCATGGCCCTAGAGGAAGACAGGTCGTATTGACTGAAGATTGGAGGCCAATTCAGGCTATTAACTTTTCTTCCTCTATCACAGCTTGGAAATGAGTATGATCCTGCTGTGGGAGGCTGTTGGTGAATTCCTCTTAGCATAGTTCAAGAAATCATATTTAGCCAATAGCTCTTGATAACTGGCTATCCTGAACTGAAGACTGGAGGATGAGAAAACCTTCCTCCCCAGCAGATCTAAGTGTTTACCCTCCTTATCTGTGGGAGCAGATCTGGGGAGTTGTTGCCTGGACCTTTCAAAAGCAGCCTGAACCAACAATGAGTTGGAAGCTTGGTGAGAGAATAAGAATTCTGAACTCTTAGCCAGCACATAACGTCTCTCTGCCCCTTGGGAGGGTAGACATGCCAGTGGCACGGGTGTGCCACACTGTCCTAGCCAGCTCTAGTATGGGCTCATTAATCAGGAGGGCTATTCTTGTAAGTCCACAGGTGTGGAGGATGTCCTAGAGCTTGTGTTGGGAGTCCTGGATCTCCTCTATGCAATCTGAAGTCCCCCGGTGACTCTGCACAGCAGATCTTGGAACTGCCTGAAGTCATCTGGAGGGAAGAGGGATGTTGAAGTCACTGCTTCATCCGGCAATGATGATGGTTGTCCGGCCTTTCTGGTAGAACTGCCAGAACCGGAGTGCAGCGTTCCTCCTTCATCATCAGATCTGGGGTTAAATTGATGGTTCCCTCAGAGGGGAGGCAGGCAGCGACTCCCTGGAGGATTGGATAGATTCTGAAAGAGGGTACTGGTGCAAGGGTCCCCAATATGGCCAGTAAGAGGGGTCAACAGGTGGCCATGGAGATCCCCATGGTATGGGGTACCAGTGACTCCTAGTCAGATTAGGCGGTGGTTAGTCCCAGGGCGTATGGGGCTCCTGGGAAATGGATAAGGGTGGTACAGGAGGAGTGGTTCCTTCAATGGTTCTGAAGCTCCTGAGGAGGAAAAGGCTGATTTGGGTGATTTCCAGAACTGGAGCACCCATGGGGAAAAATTAGCGGGTAAAATTAGCAGGGATGGGAAGAGGCAGTGCAGGGGTGGGGTCGGGGGGGGGGGGTCAAGCACCCAGCTGGCAGAGGGGAAGTCGGCATCTATGGATGTAAGTTGTGTATTGGGGGGCGGGGGCGGGGGAAAGAGGGCAATAGGCTTTGTCCTGCAGGAAGGTCTCTTGGAGGAGATATAAGATCCCTGGAAATGGAGGATCCCGAAGGAGGGGGGATTCTGGAGCTGGGAGAGCAAAAATATTCTGTGGTGCAGCAATGGATCCAGATCTCTGAGGTTTAAGGGGGACTCTTTCTGTCAGGGCCATTGGTGCTGGCGATGATGATGGTATCCGGTGATGGTCGGTCTTCACTGGTGTCAGAGGGTCCTGGCTTTTGTGAGGAGGAAGGGATACTGATTCTAATGGAGACCAGTCCAGAGCTGGTGGAGCCCAATGTTTCTGGGCTTTCTTGTTGTGCCTATAGGACTTAGGATGTACTAAGTCCTCAAGAGCCAACCTGCTGCATTTGCTTGCAGGCATGCCTGATTTCTTTGAAGTGGACTTACAGGAAGTCCCATGCTTCTGGGAGTGCTTCCTGACTAGCCCCACCATGGGGTTTGTGAGGGTAGATTCTCCAGCACCGGAGATTCTACGCCTTAGAAACATTTGGAAACTGAAGCTGGTGCAGAATGGATTACCGCTCTATTTAAGTAATATTTCTTGTCAAGAAGACATGATAACAATGATCTGAGATCTGCACTGGGTTTTGCGGGGAGTTTAAGGTGCTGGTTCAGATCTATAAAGCCCTAGATATCCTGGGATTTTGCTAATTAAAACCATCTACCTCTTTATGTGATATTACCATAGCTGCAGGCAGTGAAAGTGCTCAAGATGATGTCACCTTAGAATAGAAGAGGTGAATAGCCTGGCATTTTCTGTGAGGCCCCTTGGCTCTGCAATATGCTTTCCCATGGACTGAAATAGCCCAAATGTGTTAATTTTAAAGTTTTAGAGGCCATCTATTTGCTAAGGCTTTTGAGGAAGGCTGAAGGCATGGGAACAATTTGGTGTGGGGGGGTTGGATTTGAATAGAATACTTTTTTCCCTTTGAAGTACCATATGATTATATTAATTTTGGGCTTTATTATGCTCTTGGGTAGTTATTTGTGTAAGAATTGCTCTTTAAATAATTGTTGATTCACCCATAGCTGTGGATGGGCATCCTTGTTTGTAATTAAATGAAAGAAAATATTAAGGCTTATGAAGTCCCCAGAAGTCTCCACTGATATGAAATGGTGGCTTTTATTTATCATGTACATGTACTGTATCTCACCATAATTAATTTATTTTATATACTAAACAGTAATTTCTAAAAACAATTTGATTACAAAAAATTAATACACCATACCTCTGAAAAATATATTTGAGTCAAAGATTGTTTCCATTTTGTCTATTTCATTTGACTTTTGCTTATTTTTCTCAGACTCTAACAACAATTCAACACTGATCTGAGCTGGGCAAATTTCATTTGATACTACAGAGGAGAGGTTACAAAGATCTTCTGATTTTTCACACAATGAAGGGCTGCCTTGCTGTTTTGCTTTATGTACTGCAATTAATGGAACCTTCATTGGCATTCCTACAGATCTGAAAAGAGGAAGTTTTACTATGAAGGAGAAATATAATGTATAATGTATCACATAAATACTATATGAAAGTAAGCAGAAAACAAGAACTCAGGTGGAGAGTGTTTTTGCTTTGGTTATCTCTTAGGGGATTTTTTTTTCTGATGCACTTTCTCTTTTGCATGCTAGAGAGAAATGACAACATTTATTTAGACAACAGTTTTGCCTATTTGTATATTTTGCTAATAATTTGATGTCTCAAACAATCATTTTCCAAACTAGACACAAAAGACTAGACTGATTACCTTTTTAAAAAAAATCTCTCTTCTTTATTTTAGAACAACATGCAGCAACTAGATCTATAAAAGCCGCTGACAGATTTTAGCAGAATTTCACATTTGCATGCTCACCCAGTTTGTGAAACAGACCCATATTACCTAACTGAATGATATGAAGTCTTGGACTGATGATCAACACAGCTGCTTTGACCACTTGGCACTGTAAGAGGATTCTGAATATGCTATTAAAATTTAAAAAAAGGGAAGTAGCCATTAGAAACTGCTCAAAGATCTGGAGTATTATACACAGTCCCAAGGTAAATGAATCATTAGGCAGAGAACAGGTGAGGTGATGAAAAGTGGATGATATATTGCAGTTTATCATATAGCTATTACGACTGCATATGTGATATGCATATATATATTTATACAGCCTAGAGAACATTCCTTCAAAATAATACAATGATTTCAAGGAAAAAATTGTTTTATGCCCAAACCTTTTTTTATATTTACAGATTACTTTATTCCCAAAGCACATACACATACATAAATTATTTCACACATCACTGAAATGCAGAAGCTATATAAGAGTGCACAGCATTTGTGTTCAATAGTTTAGAACAGGAAGTGAAAAAATATTGTGTTGAAACTACATAGGTATATAGGAAAGCAAAATGTATTACCTAAATTGGAATTCTGCCACGATACCAGGACTCATACCTCATTTTTCAGGCAGAGGTCTCATCTAAAAGATGAGAACCCCCCAAAGCACAGTTCCCTCTAACACCATAGGAAGTTAGAATAGTACTAGCTCTCTGAGAAAGACTGCCACCTGTTAATTTACCAACCGCACTTGTGCACAATGTGGCTTCATCAGGATAAGTAGCTAAGTAACTTTAGAACTAGTTTCTCAAAATACAAACGGTGAAATCTTGGCTTCCTTGAAATCAATTACAAAACTCCCACTGACTTCACTGGGGCCAGGATTTCATCCCAAATACCTAAACACTTGGGGTAAAATTTTCAAAAGTGCCTACATGACTTAGAAGCCTACATTCCATTGAAGATCAATGAGTCTTAGGTGCTTTTGAAAATTGTACCCTTGGTCAAAAATTAAATAGTATAGATTATAAGACTAAGCAGCAGACACAATAGCCTTACCCCCTTTTATTTACAACGTTGTAAATATTCAAACAAAAGACACTTACCTCAGAAAAACTGCTCATTTCAATTGCTGTTAAAAGGTTGCTATTCATAAATGCTTCTATTTCTATGAGAGTTTTATTCTGTATATAAAAATATAAATGAGGACTTAAAGATGGAATTCTCTTTTAAAAAGTTAAGCCCTTATCCAAGAAGAAATCATAAATAACAGTAAAAATATTTTGTAACCTGTTCATGATCAAGGCAAAGGAAGAAGCAATTTCTACATTTGATTAATTTGTTTACTGAAAACTATAAAAGTAAAACTGGGATTAAAATGTCCACACAGAGGTGTGTTGTTGAGTTTTGGATCAGTCAGAAGCATGAGGTGATCCTATTAAGGAAAAATGAATTCTGAACAAGAATGCTATTGAGAGACAATATATAGCCCCACCTTTTTCCATCTTGTTGGCAACTGTGTATTTTAAATAATTACTGTAGATAAAATATTTTTAAATGTTCTAGTTAAAAAAATTAAACTAATTTCCTCTTAAGTTTCCATTAAAATGTGATATTTGTTTTTAGTTGCTCAGAAGGTTTAAATATTATGGTAATTACAGCATACCAAACAGTTTAATTTTTGACGAAGTACGACATTATGAAAATGCAACTCCTCTACTTCTTTCTGTAGAAAGATCTTCTCATTCTTCAGCCTCCGAGTATTTTCCTTCTCCAGAGTCAAAGCCAGAGCCAACGCTTTATTATTATGTTTTAAAGATATCTTAAAAATAGAAGAGTTGTCTGTAGAAAGAAACAAAATAATCATAATTTTCTACTTTTTGCTCACCCCTCACTTTCTTCCAGTCAATCTGCCTCTGTCTCAGCTACAGTCTATGACATTACTCATAGTTCTGATGGTGCCGTAGCAATGCTTACAGTTGGCCTAACACACATTACAAACCTTTGTTTGCAGTTGCTTTATCACTTTGAAACCTATCCAGTCAGGTTCAAGTTAAAAGTTTATGGTCTCTGCCTCAAGCTGAACTCTTTTTTTTTTTTTTGGTAAAGTCTGAGCAAAAACTGTGTAGCTGTTTCCAAGAACAAGGTTAATAATGGGTAGTTTTGCCAATGTTAAAATATATTTCTGGATTTGTTTTTTAAACACCTCTAGTGTCTCAAAGGTTTTGAGTAGGAACTTAAACTTTAAATGGAGGTAAAATTCCTTAGGTCTTAGAGGTGCTTTCCACTGTCAGTTTGAAAAAAAAAATCAGCATTTGCACAGGCACGGTAGAACCAATTGGACACTTGCTCTTCATTGTCTTAATGTTCTAATCCACTGTGTATGATCCAAAGTGCTGCTGAGTTTTCTGCTTTATACACACAGAACTAGAGACAAGACACAGGCAAAACTGATTCTATTCCTGTATCAAAATACTTTTGGTCTAACAATAGTTGTTCTGGGCTGGGAGCAAGAAGATCTTGAGTTCTAGTTGCACTTCTTCCAGTGCCTATGGTACTAATTCCGTGACCTTCAAAATCATTATTGAGCAAGGCCTCACACTTCTGCCTTTGGAGACAGATAAGTATTTATGATTTTCCCACATTTTACAGCAGAGATATTTGAAGATCTGAGAGGTTGCATGATCAATTCTAGCAGTGATGGGAATAGAACCCAAGTTTCTAACACAACAAACCTGTCTCATTCACATATCTCATTACATTGTCTCTCATAAAGAACATGCGAAAACTATGTGTTTAGCTATGAAGTCTGTAAAACAAAGCTATTCTTGACTCATTCAGTGCACAGGACAGATACTGCTCAGAGAATGATGCAGTTGTTAAAGAGTTTTGATTATCCTCATCATTCAGTATATGGCCCAATGACTTATTTACACCCCATCATATTTTGCAGATGAGGGAAAGTGAGGCACACAGAAGTTAATGCCAACATTTTTTTAAAATCCACTAATTTTGGTGCCCAATATGAGATAACTACATCTTGACTGTAGACATATTGAACAACCACAACTACCACTGAGGCACCTGAAATTAGTGTGCACTTTTAAAAGGTTTGGCCTAGCTGAATTGCCAGAGGTCAAGGACAGAAAATCTAACGAAGAACCAGGTAAAGAATACAATAATTGTCATTCCAAGTAACATGTTTTAGCCACAAGACCATTTTTCAACTCTCAACTTTAATATTATATTAATAATAATCCTCTTTATTTAGGCAATTTAGCAAACATTAAGCACATCCATCGCCCCATCTACTTCAATGGTGCACACAGTATATGGATTAAATTACTGTAACAGTTTACTTTAAAGTAATTACACTCACTTATTATTTTAGTTTTGATTTTAGATGCAAGAGAGGCATTCAGTTTTGCAGCTTTTAAAGCTCTGTCCTTCTTCTCTTTTGTGTGCCCTCTAGTAGAACCCAGGGAGAAAATGGAGGATGTTTCAGCAGTTGCTTGGTTCGCCATTGTCAAAAAGGCCCTGTTTATCACAAAGTAAAAAAGTACAAAAGGATACAATATAAAGATTGCTTGCAGTGTTGTTATAGCCATGTTGGTCCCCAGATATCAGAGAGACAAGGTATGTGAGGCGATATCTTTTATTGGAACAACTTCTGTTAGTGATAGAGACAAGCTTTTGAGCTCTGAATTCAAAATAGTACGTCCACACCTTGAATACTGCGTGCAGTTCTGGTCGCTCCCCCTCCCACCGCAAAAAAGATATATTAGAATGGGAAAAAGTACAGAGAAGGGCAACAAAAATGATTAGGGGTATGGAAGAGATTAAAAAGACTGGGACTGTTCATCTTAGAAAAGAAATGACTAAGAAGGGATATGATAGAGGTCTATCAATCACAAATGGTGTGGAAAAAGTGAAGGGACATGTTATTTACCCCTTCATATAACACAAGAACCAGTGGTCATCTAGTGAAATTATAGGCAGCAGTTTAAAACAAACATAAGCAAGTACTTTTTCACACAACACACAATCAAACTGTGGAACTCATTGTTAGGGGATGCTGTGAAAACCAAAAGTATAACTAGGTTCAAAAATGAATTAGATACATTCATGGCAGATAGGTTCATCAATGGCTATTAGCCAAGACAGTCAGGGATGCAACCCCATGCTCTGGGTGTCCCTAAGTCTCTCACTATCCAAAAGAAGCTGGGATTGGACAACACGGAATTTATCATTCAATAAGTGCCCTGTTATGTTCATTCTCTCTGAAGCATCTAGCACCAGTCACTGTTGGAAGACAGGATACTTAGCTAGATGGATCACTGGTCAGACCCAGTACAGTCATTCTTATATTCTGTTCTTATCCACACTGTAAAGGCACATTTATACTCGCGCTTTTAAAAATAAAAAGTAACAGGTCTCTATTTAGGGTTACTTATCCCTCTTAACCCTAGAGATATCTCAGTTTTCAGAGATCTCTGAGCTCTTAGCCCTGGTCTACACTACAAGGTTAGGTCAAATTTAGCCGCATTAGGTCGATTTTATAAGCAATGTGGCCACACAACCAACCCCGTTCCATCGATCTAAAGGACTCTTAAAATCGACTGCTGTACTCCTCCCCGGCGAGGGGAGTAGTGCTAAAATTAACCTTCTTGGGTTGAATTTGGGGTAGTGCAGATGCAGCATTGTGCAATTTGATGGTATTAGCCTCCGGAAGCAACCCCAGAATGCTCCAATGTGACCACTCTGGACAGTACTTTCAACTCCGATGCACTAGCCAGGTACACAGGAAAAGCCTCAGGAACTTTTGAATTTCATTTCCTGTTTGGTCAGCGTGGCGAGCTCCGCAGCACAGGTGACCATGCAGTCCCAGAATCGCAAACGAGCTCCAGCATGGAACGAACAGGAGACACTGGATCTGATTGCTATATGGGGAGAAGAATCTGTGCAGGCACAACTCCAATCAAAAAGAAGAAATGCTAATATATATGCCAAAATCGCAGAGGGCATGGTGGAGAGAGGCTACACCAGGGACACACAGCAGTGCTGTGTGAAAGTTAAAGACCTCAGGCGAGCCTACTACAAGACAAAGGAGGCAAACGGTCGCTCTGGGTCAGAGCCCCATACATGCCGCTTCTATGATCAGCTGCATGTCATTCTGGGGGGGGAACCATACCAGTACCCCACCACTGTCCATGGACACCTGCAAAGGGGGAGTCTCACGGAACATGGAGGAGGATTTTGTGGATGAATAAGAGGAGGAGGAGGAGGAGGAGGAGAATGTGCAGCAGGCAAGCGGAGAATCCGTTCTCCCCGGCAGCCAGGACTTTTTCATCACCCTGGAGCCAATACCCTCCCAAGGCAGGTGCCCTGACCCTGAAGGCAGAGAAGGCACCTTTGGTGAGTGCACATTTGTAACTACACTGCAGGGGTTAAAAGCAATTGTGTTTAATGTTTGATTTGCCCTGAAGAATTGGGATGCATTTGCGGTCAGTTCAGCTACTGGAAAAGCCTATTAACATGTCTGGGGATGGAGTGGGAATCCTCCAGGGACGTCTCCATGAAGCTCTCCTGGAGGTACTCTGAAAGCCTTTGCAGAAGGTTTCTGGGGAAGGCTGCCTTATTTCGTCCTCCACGGTAGGACACTTTACCATGCCAAGCCAGTAGCAAGTAGTCTGGAATCACTGCAGCACAAAGCATGGCAGCGAATGGTCCTGGGTTTTGGTCGCATTCATGCAACATTTGGTCTTTATCTTTCTGTGTCAGCTTCAGGAGAGTGATATCATTCATGGTCACCTGGTTGAAATAGGGGAATTTTTGTAAGGGAACAGTAAAAGGACCCCGTTCATGCTGGGCTGTTTGCGCTTGGCTAAAAGGGATCATCCCGAAGAATAGCCACGCGGTGGGGGGAAGGGTGTGCTGCACATCCAACCCAAAACTGCAGCCCCCTCCTTTTAAATGGCAAACCCAACCGGCATTGCTTGCTATAGGAAAGGAGGGCGCTGCAATTTGAAACCATTCCCACATGTTATGAAGGCAGAAGAAGCCAACCCTGCATACCCTTTGGCTTACCATGGCTGCCTGGAAACCGAATTCTGTTGCCCAGCCGTGTGTGATGTCTCACCATACTGGCAGGCACTCAATATAAAAGGCAAAATGCGACTTTGTACCTAAAGCACACGTGCTGCCTGCTGTGAATTGCTTGATTCACTGTGAAAGTCTCCCTTTTGTTCTCAAAATGTATCTTCTTAAATGTTATTCTCCCTTTTTATCCCCCCTGCAGATGCAAATGTTTCTATGCTCCCTGTATCATCTCCATCCCTGAGGTTATCGCAGATTAGAAGGCAAAAAAACCACACTCGCAATGACATGTTTTCAGAGCTCATGCAGTCCTCCCGCACTGATAGGGCACAGCTGAATGCATGGAGGCATTCGGTGGCAGAGGCCAAGAAAGCATTCAGTGAGCGTGATCAGAACACACAGTAGGAGATGCTGGGGGAGCAAACAGACATGATCAGGCATCTGGTGGAGCTGCAGGAAAGGCAACAAGAGCACAGACCACTGCTGCATCCACTGTATAACCGCCTGCCCTCCTTGCCAAGTTCCATATCCTCCTCACCCAGAGGCCCAAGTATGGGGGAAGGGAGGCTCCAGGCACCAAGCCACTCCACTCCGGAGGATGGCGCGAGCAACAGAAGGCTGTCATTCAAACAGCTTTGATTTGTAGTATGGCTACAATAAGCAATGTGCCTTTGTCCTTCCCTCCTCCCACACCCCACCCGGGCTACTGTGTCAGTGATCTCACTTTTTTTTTTTTAAACAAATAAAGAATGCATGGATTCAAAATAATAGGGACTTTATTTCATTTGCCAGCTGTGGTCAAAGGGGGGGAGGGGGATTGGCTTACAGGGAAGTAAATTCAACAAAGGGGGTGATTTTGCATCAAGGAGAAACACACACAACTGTCACATTGTAGCCTGGCCAGTCATGAAACTGATTTTCAAAGCCTCTCTGATGCGCAGAACGCCTAGCTGTGCTCTTCTAATCGCCCTGGTGTCTGGCTGTTCAAAATTGGCCACCAGGCGATTTGCCTCAACCTCCCACCCCACCATAAATGTCTCCCTCTTACTCACACAGATATTATGGAGCACACAGCAAGCAGCAATAACAATGGGAATACTGGTTGCGCTGAGGTCTAACCTAGTTAGCAAACAGTACCAGTAAGCTTTTAAACGTCAAAAGGCACATTCTACCACCATTCTGCACTTGCTTAGCCTATAGTTGAACTGCTCCTTACTACTGTCCAGGCTGCCTGTGTATGGCTTCATGAGCCATGGGAGCAAGGAGTAGGCTGGGTCCCCAAGGATAACTATTGGCATTTCAACATCCCCAATGGTAATTTTCTGGTCTGGGAAGTAAATCCCTTCTTGCAGCTGTTCGAACGGCCTGGAGTTCCTAAAGATGTGAGCGTCATGCACCTTTCCCAGCCATCCCATGTTGAGGTCAGTGAAACATCCCTTGTTATCCACCAGTGCTTGCAGCACCATTGAAAAGTACCCCTTGCGGTTCATGTACTGGTTGGCAAGGTGGTCTGGTGCCAAGATAGGGATATGCGTTCCGTCTATCGCCACACCAAAGCCATCCACTATGACCTGCACATTTCCCAGAGTCACTACCCTTGCTAGCAGAAGGTTACTGATTGCCTTGGCTACTTGGATCACAGCAGGCACCACAGTAGATTTGCCCACTTCGAATTGATTCCCGACTGATTGGTAGCAGTCAGGCATTGCAAGCTTCCACAGGGCTATCGCCAATCACTTCTCAACTGTCAGGGCAGGTCTCATCTTGGTATTCCTGCGCTTCAGGGCGGGGGAAAGTAACTCACACAGTTCCATGAAAGTGGCCTTATGCATGTGAAAGTTTCGCAGCCACTGGGAATCATCCCATACCTGCAATACTATGCGGTCGCACCAGTCTGTGCTTGTTTGCCGGGCCCTGAATCAGCGTTCCACTGTATCAACCTGCCCCACTGCCGCCATGATGTCCCAATTGCCACATCCCGTACTTTCAGGAACATCTGTGTCCACGTCCTCCTCACAATCGTCCTTGTGCTGGCGTCTCCTAGCCAGATTCTAGGTGTTTATAATGCTCACAATAGCAGCGGTGAGCTGAGCGGGCTCCATGCTTGCTGTGCTATGGTGTCTGCATGGGTAACCCAGGAAAAAAATGTGCGAAATGATTGAAAGCAACGGCAAACAAGGAGGGAGGGAGAGAGAGAGAGGGGAGACTGACGACATGTACCCAAAACCACCCGTGACAATGTTTTTGCCCCATCAGGCATTGGGAGCTTAACCCAGAATTCCAATGGGCAGCGGGGACTGTGGAGCTACACACAATGCTCGACTCCATGAGTCGATGCTAGCCATGGTATTGAGGATGCACTCCACTGACCTACTGAGCTTAGTGGGGACATACATGATTGACTGTATAACATCGCTTTCTAAAGATCGACTTCTATAAAATCAACCTAATTTCGTGGTGTAGACATACCTTAGATAAAAATGTCAAGTTAACTCAGTTGTCCCTAATGGTT